AACACCCGAGAAGAGCTACGACGGCCTCGATTCTACCGACCAAGCGAGCTCGGCAGAATATAGTAGGCCTTGCAGCAACACCGACTCGGCGCACCGTTGTTCCGGCGGTCCTTGGCCAAGACCGTCTGCCCATGACCGGCTGGCCTACTGAATGGAATATGTGCGCGTGACCCTTGTGGACCCTTCCCGGATGAATAGTTTGATCCCTGAACTAAATTTTAGAGGTCAATCTTTTCCCCTTGTCATCTCCATCTCCTTGTTTTCCGGGACAGCGGTGACGAACGCTGTCGTCGAAAAGGGACTCTGATTGATTCTATTTCCTTGTTTTGTGTGATAAAGAGCTGAAATAAACGCCATACGGATTACCTTCGCAACATGGTATGTACACTTTGTTATTAGTATGCCATTTTTATTCTGACACGAAGCTAGGTCACTGTCGAGCTATAGCAGTTCGTGGGAGCTACGCGATTGTCGGTCCAACCTTTTTTTGCCGAGTGTCATGTAAGTGTCGAGTTGCAATTGTGAAAGATCGGTCCAGAAGCGCTTACCGAAACGCGGTCTAACAGAACGAATCCAGCACTTCGATCAAAAGCGCGTGTCCGCTCCGAGTGTGAACAGGTATTTGCATGGCTCTTGCTGAGACTCTCGTAGTATAAATATATCTTTTTTTAACTTCGGCTCGCAGCTCGCAACTCGCAGCAACTAATACTTAAAGGAGCTGTGCAACGATATTCAGTTGGAATGTTTTTCTCTCTACCCGAGCTCACTGGCACACCTGGGACTCAAGGATACTCACACGCAACGCCATTGGCCAAGACACTCCTTTGTTGCGGTGTAATTTCAAGGACAAAAGCGATCATTTTCATTCAATCTCTCCTTTGCAAAGTTTGATGACATAACGAGGGGATCGCAGTACACCCAAGTGACGATATTTGAATGCGGTTCATAGATTGGACCCGAGCATTGCGTGGGCACTCGACTTGGGCTCGTGACAATTGCTAGCTCAAGAAGCACTCGGGTTGTGACCCGTGTCCAATCGCTGCAACGACGACAACAGCCGAGCCATAACAATGTCTGGAACTCAGCGCGTGTCCTGCGCTTTGCCAACCCCAGCGCGTGGCTATGATCAACACTGGCGGCACATAATCGGCTCCATATCACGTGGCCGCTTGTTCTGGCTGCGAGTTGAGGGGGTGAACGCTGCTCGTTTTTCTTAAATTTTTTTCTGGGACTTCTATTGCGTCGGGTGAAAAACGAACGCGTGTTCCATAGGTCATTAACGTTAGGGATCCGTTTTAAGCGGTATTTGAGCAAAGTACAAATATTGTTGCATCGCTCCTTTAACTGATACCGGCCGTGCCAGAAGCATGCTCGGGTCGTGTCGTGCAAAGAACCGCAACGAGAACGAGCTCACTGTGGCCAACTACGCTTTGGCTTTCTCCGCCAAGGCTTTGCAAATGCGTTCAGGCCTAGGCTAATTTTGCCGGCACGCCGTATTGCCGCAGAACGGCGCTGCTCCTATGCCACAAGTGGTGTCACGAGAACTTCCCACCATCCACCAGATGTGAATTTGAAATCGTTTAATTAGGTTTAAAATTATTTCTCCTGTGTTTTACAGCGCGATATTGATATTTCCGAGGTGGTGCCTGTCCCTAGCCCATATTTATGCAGAAAGATCGGCGCTAAAATTTCGTTTCCGTACCCCTTTAAAACAGGTTTCTAGACATGGTCTTTACGGTCCCTCGTGCTGCGCCGCAAAGGTTGCATTTTGTCAGAGGATGTGTTCTTGTCGCTGTGCATGGAGTCGCTTTCAGCAGTGTACTAGCCGTGTTGCTGTGCAGGTATTTAAAGAATACAGTAACATAGCTTATTTCTACGCCAAGAACGAACTGGATATTTTTATGCTCTTATCAAACAAACACGCTGGCCGTGTATGTCCTAGAAGACAAATGCCAAAAAGTTTGCCAAAAAAATTAGTGTATTTAAGTTTTGCTGTTTGTTACGAGATTGATGTCTTAAACAAGATTGATGTCTTAAACAAGCTTCGACATATCATGGCTTTCTCGATGTTTGCGGTGCATTGTAAATAAACACTTTCTGCCACCAGCGGACCGCTTAGTAAAAATCAGTGCTTTTTTTGAGGAAATTAGCTTTTTTTTGCAATTGTCTCTGCATTTGAGAATGCCAGCTTTATGCTGCTTATGCCGGCAACAAAATGTAGCTGTCAAGTGCTAATTTTTACGTTTAGAAATTAAAGGAATGGAATGGAGCGATTTAGCCATTCCAGCAGTGGGAATGGGCTCAGTGTCTCCATTCCTAGGAATTGAAAGGAATTGAATTATCGAAAACTCTAATCCCCGGGATGGAATTGGAATGGAATGGGGGTGCACATTCCGCAACACTGGGAGAAACAGAGCTGCCTTTTCGTCATCGGGCTTCAATGCGTATCCCGTGGCCTTCAAGTAAATGTCCAGCCTTTGCTTGAATATACGCCAATTCTCTTCGGAATTCCCAGTGAGACGCAGCTCCGCTGGCGGCTTGAGGCTGTTCATCTTCCACGCAGAGCAAGAGCCGGTTTCGCTGGTGTCTGGTCTGCGCGAACCCTCGGCGTTCGATGTCGGCTGCGCCATGTATCAGACGAGACAAGACATGACCGCTCAGTGTGGCTCCAGCAGCAGGACTGACTTTTATTGGTCCACGTCACAATATATATAGCCGGTGCCCATGGTGTCCAGACTTACATACGGTACACTGACTAGATAGTCACCCGCTCACTTCGCGCTCGTGAATACCGCAGAACATAATCGCTCGTTAGTCGCGGATTTCTCGTTTAGCTCCCGACTACTTAGTCGTGCTACTAGCCTTAAAACGACGCTAGTCAGTCGCGCCTGGTGAATACGGGTGCTATTGACTGAGCGAAACGGCGCCTAAATCCCCATTGGCTGAGCAAAACTGTACGTAAATTCCCATTGGCTGCAGAGCGGACACGTCTCAGAAAAAAATAAAACAGAAAAGCACAGCAACGCAGATGCCTCGTCACGGAAGTCGGCTTGTGCGCTCTAGGTCAAAGCGGACGCGCCTTAGAAATAATGCGCAAAGAAAAGCGCAGCGACGCAGATGCAACGTCGCAAAGGCCGCGGAGCTGGCGGGTGCAGCGCCGGCTCCTTTTCTTTTGTGACGATGCATCTGCGTTGACCACTTTTGTGACGACTTGTGACGTTGGGCACGCTTTTGTGACGATGCATGCTGGGCAGTCTCGCCTACGGGGAAGGCGAGAGTGCCTAGCGCTGGCGGCATGAAGGCAATGTCCCTGTCCCCTTGGTTACTCTGGCGAGGGGGAGGCCTGTGCTGGAGGCGCCGCCAAGCACGCTCCCTGAGGCCGTCCGCCGTCTCTGCCGGCTGCCCCAGGTTCGGGAACTTTGCTCCTTCCGTGATGTCCTGCAGATGCGGGTGCATTTGTCGGAGCACGCGGTCCACTTTCTCGGTGTCAAGCACTTCTTCACGGATCCGGTCGTAGGACGCCGCCGATTCTGTAGCTAAACTTCTTCAAGTTTTTTTCTGAATGTTGTGTGAATCGGCTTAACACATCCTTTAAGGCGGCGCTTCGCGCCGATGAAGGAAAAACTCTGCGCAGAACGCGGACATAAAGTCGTTCCAAGAGGCTAAGTCCGCCACGAAACACCACAAGAGCTTCGCGCTGCCTTGCACAGCCTGGCCCAGTTGCATAACAGTGAAGACTCCGCTGCTCAGGCAATTCTCCCATCACCCTCAGAACTCTTCGAACGAATGAACATCGCTGAACCCGTTGGACTTGGGCCACTGAGCCCCGATTTTCGGAGCGAGTCCGCCGGAGGGGTGTATGACAGCAACAGTGGCCACGGATCCTTCTTCGGGGCCGGACGGCGCGGCCGCCAGCACGAGCTGCCGCACGTGAGCCGCTGCGTGCTCCCGCTGCATAACGGAACTGGCCGTCTGTCTTACGAGTTGCTGGAAGTCGAGTTCGTTTATCACTGTAATCGAGTGCACGTGACTTGTGAGGCTTGGCGTCGATGGAGCGCCGACACCACCGACACACGAGAACCGACGTCGTAACAGCACTTCTTTATTTCATACCTCAGTATCGCCGCCACGAGCCGCGTTCCCCACTCTTCCCCCTCATCCCCTCCGAGAGGTGCCGCCCTCCTGCGTCTCCTCCGAGAACTCCGAGGGGGAGCAGTTGCGCACTCTCTGGGTGTTTTCTTTTTTAATAGTTTCTTTAGATGCAATGTGTTCCTGAATGACTCCGGTCGTCGTTGCCCCTCCAAAACTCCTTACATTTCAGTTGTTTATTAACTTTAAATTAATTATAAATTGCACTTTTGTAAACCTTTGATAAAACTATTTTGTTAGGTTTTTAATCAACATTAACTAGCATAAAAACGTGTAAATAAAAAAAAAACATATATTCTAAGATGGCAGATAAAAGTAATAATTAAGTAATCAGAGAAATTATCGGGGACTATCGAGCGCCCGCTGTGGTCTTGTAAGGGGCTCTGGCTGACGTGGCGCTCGCTTAGAGATCAAATTGCCTGCCCGGAGGACTCGGTCTTCCCGCCCGGCCCACAATGTATCCAGGCCGACACCTTGCGCTCGCTCTTAGACTTTGTACTTGGGTGAGACCTGGAGGTGCACATTTGACTTTCACTCTGTGTGTTCAGTGCGAGTGTGTGATGTGCCCGGACGTCCAGGCCTGGTCGCCATCGACGGGCTTCGCTTCCCCTTTCTTCACTCGTTTTTCTAGCTTAATGAGCCTGTTGTACTGCTAGTAGTGTAGCGAAAAGTGCGGTCTCGTGACTACGTTACGTTGTCTCAAATCAAGGTCAAGTCAATTTCTGCAAGCTGGTTGTTTGTGCTCAACACCTTTTGTGCTTTCCGAATTTTTGTCAGGGTAATCAAATTAGTCTATTTTTTACTTTATTTCTTTAAGTATCTTTTTTTCCGGTTTTTCAGGCTCTCAGTTCCTACTCGAGGGGTGGAGGGGTTATGAAGGCCTTTGGTCGTCTCGTAGTTGTGGGCGTCGCTCGATCGGACCTCTTCAACTCGTACGTAAAGACCCTGGAGTCGTGGGTGGCGACCTTCCTGAACACACCTTCAGCCTCAAAGCTGACGGTCAAACGATCGATGCGGGTCAAGTTGCTATCTATACTGGTCAGCACGGAGACAGGGAAGAAATGAAGATAGTGATTGTTGACCTTCGTATTGACCCAGACGGCAAACCATCCTCTGACAATTACTGTGGCAGTCCAAGGAAAGTCCTGCAAGAGAGTCGATGTGGAGGTCAGGTTACTCTGTTAGGAACAAAGGTGTACATGACTACTTCCATAAAAGGAGGAGTGATATCGTAACCTAGCTATGTTCCTTCTAAAAGGGAGGAACTTTTCCTCCAGAGAGCAAGGGAGTAAAGTTCCTTCCTTTCTGCATCTCAATATGGCAGCCAAGAATGAAACCAATCGAGCTCTATGTGGCCTAAATAAAACGCTAAGTATATTGTCGATCTCTACAGAGAATATTCCCGCGGTTCAACCGAAAATACTTGGCATAGTATTCGGTCAGGCAAACACATCCGGCTACTGGCGGCTTCCAGTTTCTGCAGTCAGCTATTGCTACAAGAGCAGTCAGCTGGTTCGCACTCATACAAACAAGTCACTGATCTCAAGAGAGAAGAGCAGGAAATGAAATCATACCACGAACTTTTCCCGGAATGTAATTATTCCCGAAACCAGCTTCCCGTACAGGTAACGGAATGCGTTTTGAACACGGACACTCGGTCTTCTCGTTGTCAACGCTGCGATGTCAAACGGAGACAACCGAAGCCCTGCCACTTCGCGCAACTTCACGTGTTACAATTGCTACTATTCTTCGAGCCAGAATTTCTTTGTCAGCACCGCTCATCACAGAGGAGTGGTAGACCACTCGCAAAACCAAACGCCGATCTCAAAATAGCTAATTTAAAGCAGCCTAGTTGTCTCATTGTTGTACGCTGACCATAAAATATCGCGAGGCGTGATTTGTGAAAGAAGGTTAAATCGTTCTCCATCAGATGACAGGGTCAAGCAGAGTAACTTGAAGTAGCTAAACTAGGTGGCGCTATGCACCGCCCGTTTCATGGGCCACAAAAGTAACATTGCTTCTCGCACATCCATTGTGCTTCGGGCGTCCTTGTCATACACACATGTACAGTGCTCTGAAAGGCTAAAAATAATGCGAGAGCAGTGGTCAAAGTTGATAATAGAGTTGCCTAACGAGGAAACCGATAATACTGCAAGCATTTAAGCGGCTCTCCTTGTAAATGTCGCCACTCCCCGATACAATTATTGTGGGAGCCCACTGTCTTCCGTTTATCTTCCCCATTCAGTTTTTATTCTGTTGTATTATTGATACTCGGTTTATAATTTCACAAGGACTGCATTGCAGCTATCATCCTTAATAAGTCGGCGGGGCATGCTTATCATGAGGCGGTGCCTTAGTACGACTAACGTGCAACTTTTTTTTAATAAAAAAACGAACAACAAAATTAGTCAATGGTCAATATCGTTTATTTTAATCGCCGGAACACTCAATGGTCAGCGCCACGGATGGCCAAAATAGTTCCAGAGATGTATTTAAGTACAAATGCTAAATGCCTCGACAAAATTGTATTTAATAACACATCAATGACACGTTTGAGAAGGCTATTTAAATGAAGATACAAATACCAGCGAGAGTATTTAATCATCTTCAAATAATTCTTCAAATACGTTCTGTTTTCAAGGATTGGCGTGTTAAACTTTAATTTAAAAATGTTGAAAAGGCTAACGCAATGAAGTGTGGAGTTTAATAATACTAGGAATCAGGTGCTTAAAGATGCTTTCGCTCTGAAGATTAAAATTGGCGAAGCTTTATAGGCGGATGCAACAACAAACAAGAATGCATTCAATGTAAGATTAATTTCAAGACATGGAGTTGACGCATGAATGCCTTTTCAAAGAACACATCGTTAATGCGACTTGTTTATAAAATTAAATCACCCATCCAAAAAGGCAGTAATTGTACTAATCCAATTGATTCCTTGCTCTGCTCTTCGTCTTGCCTTCGATGTTTATTTTGTGCGAGACGCAGCTAGTTTCATACTCTTTGCACATGACTCGCTTCACGAAGAGAGCCCAATCTCGCATTTGATTGTGAAAAGCAGTGCCCAAAATTGTATTTGTTGCATAATTTAAAACATAAGCACATGAAAAACACAAGTTTCAGTATTTAAATACAGTTAACAAATGTATTCTCCAATATATAAATAAATACGAAATACAAAATGCTTAAAATAATTTAAACACATATTTAGGGTAGTACCACTTGTATTCGAAATACTGCCCGTTTCTTAATAATCGCTTTCAAACTGGGATTGTAACCCCAATAAAATAACTGCGGTGGGACCTTCTAGACTGCGCCGGCAGATTACGCACGCAGTCTCTTCAGCCACTTTTCGCGCATTAGATTTAATAGTTGAGCACACTGTTTATATTTTTCGGGTACCACAACCTACGGTAGCACTAGCTGAACATATTATAACGCAGTTGCTATCTTCAGAGCATCAACCGGGGTGTCCCGTGATGCTCCATTGACGTCGTTTCTCGACGTCACGCATATCGTTTGGTTATAACGGGGACGCCTGTTAACCCCCCCCCCCCTCCTTCACAGCGTTCACGCCACTTCGCGGCGGCAGTCTGCGGCGGCTCTTTACAAAAATGTAAACGCACTTGGCCCACCCGTAAACGCCGCTTCGCGGTGGCAGAGCACCCTCTCGTGGAGCAATCAGCTTGACGATCGACGAACCCAAGTAACGCCAAGCGACAAAACGCGAAGAAAGGGAAGGCCGCGTGGCCCCCACCAGCAGAGATCCGTGACGTCACCGGATTGTCACGTGACCCCCCAGTTAATGCTGTGCAGATAGCAAATCCCATAGTACACCGAGTATTTCAGTGAGGCTTTAGAAAAATAGTAAACAAAAAGTTCTTCAGAAGAAAAAAAAGTCCGGCATCAAAGTGTTAGTCACGGCCGACGTCAAGAATTGCAAACACATAATATTTAGCTCAGCTACTGACTATAATTTACTCATTAAAATTGTAAGAAGTGAAAATAAACCTATAGTTTTAGTTACAAACTTTCCACGCGTCATCAAAAACCTCAAGATCAACTCATTTTGGAAAGATATAAGGCAGTGGCAGAATCGTATGGCGTTCCAAGAACACACCAAATTGGAACACGTCTAGGTTTCGGTTGCCTAATCTTTGCGACAGCGGTCCTTCCTTTCGGTGGTCAAGACCAAAGCCTCCTCTATGCTCACAATCTATGATCTAAAATCTATGATAATAAATTTTGTTGAACTGATTTCTTACCCGTACAGTATTTTTAAAGTAAAAACGCATAGCAGGATATAATAAGAACGGTTCACGATATTGTTGTGTATTCAAAATCAGCGATATAGACGCTTTGCAGCAGCTGTGCATGGACGCCGCCATAACTGACCTTCAGTTTTTGTCTTCTCTTATTTTGGTTTATTTCACTTCATCTTTACCATAGCAGGCCAGGTTATTGCCACATTAGATTCAACTGTGTCCTTTTCTAAAGCATCGGCCTTTGTAGAGGATCGTCAACTACCGTTTCAGTTGCTCGGCATCTCGGTAAGACAAAAGAAGGTCAGCAATGGCGGCTGTAATTTGGCGCGTGTGTAAAGCGTCTATATTATCACCTGCTGCATATGTCAAAACTAAAAGTCGTGAAAGGACCATTATGCAATACGCTGATCTCTGCGTGTTTCATCACTTAACGTTTCACTTACCATAACAGTATTGCTCACGTACCACGTCACTTGCACTGTCTTTTTTGGTGGCACGCGAACTTGGACATTAATGCCCAGAGTTTCGGTCTTGGTTTTGGTTTCCAACTTCGTCTTGGAAAGGCTGTAATCGAAGCTGTATTCGACGCTTGCACTAATAACGAGAGGTACTCCGACAGTAACACTGGTCTTGTAGTTCGCCTCAAATCCCTTCACCAATTTGACGATGGCGGTTTCCGTGTTTCCGTGGGTCTGCGACACAGTTTGAATTAAATCAGTTTTTTCTTGATCGTTTGCAATCGTGGTGGTGAAGACCTCCGTGGGTTGGATATGTTTCCCGATGGCTTCTCCAAATTTAAAGTTAGTCGCCGTCACGGAGAGCTTGTAGCTGGAACAAACGCGCACAAGTGATGTAGTTGCGGCCCCATGTCCTTTATGGTAACTGACAATGCGTAATGTCAGGGAGTCTCTTTCGAACGCCCGTCCTCCACATGCACTTTTTGCTTTTCGCCGTGCTCCAATTCAGTTCAATTCCTTTATTTTTCCAACGTGTTGTTAGGGGTCCCCAGAAAAAAAAGCTGTCAAGGACAGCTTGAGGGTGTCGGGGAAGGGAGGGGGGGGGGGGGGGGGGGTTGGCTGCACGTGCACGCTTGAGGCGGGACAACCTAGAGCCCCTTCATGTTTTGAAAATAGCTCAAGGTGCGTCGATGCATAAGGCACGTGCAACGTGCAGCAATTGGGAAGATTATGGCGGCACAGCGCAGCACTGAGCTACATTCCAGACGCAATGCTCTTCCCGGAAGTGGCGCGCGGCACGTGTCCCGAGCGTTTCCACAACAATGAATAGCGCCAGTTTTCCCAGGATAGATGGGCTTTAAAATAACCTAGAGTTCCTGTATATGCTCCCTACGGGAGCCTAAACAGGAACTCTAGGATAACCCAAAGGGACAACCGACGCTCCTCCCTGCCGACCTCGTTCTGTAGGTGGCTATAGAGACAGGATTGTGTCCTTGTTCACCCATATGTATATTCAGTTCAAAGCGTTATTTGCTAGGCAGATATACAGAAGAGACACTCATGAAAAAAAAAAAGCCGCCGAGATCTATACTTGACTGAGACTGGACACCGTTACAAAAGCAGTAGCTCAGAGAAAGGCGTTTCACGCGTCAAGCGGGTTTATAACGGTAGTATAACAAAGAACAAAGTAACAAGGAAGCATTGAGCGCATTAGTTACAAAGTAGATGCGAATCGGCTGTTGGGTTTTTAAATACATCACTCGTATTTATGAACCATCAATTTAGTGTGGTACGAAGATTGTAGCGTTAGAGGGACCACCTGCTTCTCTGAAAGACAAGTCCAGGGGCTGTTTTTTCAATTGATTCTTGTGTAAGTGCAATACAAAAAAAAATGGATGGATGAATTATATAAAAGGCGAATGGTAGAGTAATGTCAATATTGTTATTTTAGGTCTTCATGCCGAACTGCGATTTAGAAAATATGCGCCCCTGTGATATACCCGCCGTTTTCCACTGCCCGGCGCCGAAATTGGCAAGGGGAAACGTCGCCGGCGGTCTTGGGTTGCTGGGTGTTACGTCAGGGAGCCACTCCCTATTCGCAACTCCAGCTGGTCGCTCGCCCTCTCGCGGACAAACGAAGTACCAGAGGAGCGGGGACGGTGGCGGAGACGGTGGCAGGGACTGTCAGCCTTTCTGCTGCTGTTCTGGTCGGCATGCTCGTGCATAATGCGGTTTGAAAAAGCGGAATACACAGAAAGAAGAAAACTCGTGAAGGACGAACACAGACACACACAGTTCTTTCAATGAGAAACGAACATTTTTGAGATGCCCATGACACTACGACCGTGAACTTCAAAAAATTGAAAGAAAGAAAACGAAAATAAAACAAAAATTAAATGAATACGAACAAAAACGAAAATGCTCAAATTTCAAATAAAACCAAATTGTGCACAAATTTTAAAATACCAAATTAAAATGAGCGGACAATTATGCAAATTAACCCCTGAAAAAAGGGGGAAAAGGAAGAAGAAAAAAAGAAGGGAAATTAACCCCTGAAAAAGGGGGAAAAGGATAAAGAAAAGAAAGGGAAAGGCGAAATTAATAATTGATCAAGACAAGCTTTTCGATAATTCTGGCGCGAGGAACTCCAGCTCTTTTGACGATAACGCCAGAGAAGGCTCAGAAACATTGTTTGCGGCGTATCTGATCTTAAACGCCTCAATTATTTCGCGCCCAAACTTATCTCTGTGGGAATCAAGCAGAAAAGTGTTTTCAAAGTTTAGGGTGCAATCGTGGCAGGTAAGGGCATGCACAAATTTGGTGTGGAAAGATTCCGATGATGCCTTGGTGACTTCTAAAGGGTGCTTCCTAAGGCGAAGATTTAGGCATCTCCCAGTCTGGCCGATGCGAGTGCGGTGAAATAGGGTTCCTTGGGGTCCTTTTTGCGACTGCATTGCACGAAAGAGCGGAATGTTTTATTTCATTTGGGTATTTTAGTAGATCGCATAAGCTGCGAATTTCGGGTCCTGCGGTCGCTATCATTATCTTCGCTCAACGTGAAGGCAAAAGCTTCCTGTAGTAGTGCAAAGTTCTTGCATACGATATAAGAAAAGTCTATGCTTCCCAGAAAATATATGGGAGGACTGTTCGCTCCAAGGTGCATCGAGCGATAGACATCGCAAATGGGTTCGCATTTTATGCGTTGAAAGGCCGTAGCACAGAACATGACAGTTTGCTCCACGCACTTCTAGAATACAATGTACGCGTACCTGCTGTCAGTTAGGTAAAGTAAAATAAATAAGTGCTCGCACCATTTTTAGGCGCGTATGTGTGCAGATCGTGAGTAGTGGTTAGAACGGACAGGTTTGGCGAGACGGGTCGCGACAATGGAGTAGGCTTTGTTGGGCGCGGAGCATACCTAGCCTATTTCATGTGCAGACAAGTTAACCGAAGAACAAAGGATATTTATCCTAATTTATCCTACTTAATGTGCGGACGAGTTAACCGAAGAACAAAGGAAAAAAACGTGCGACACGGACAACAGAATGCAGTATGCCCCATGCACAACTAGAGTGGTGTACCACTTTCCCCTTTCATGCGGGAAATGCAACATCGGCCAAACGGGGCGATGTATCAACCACAGAGGCCGCGAGCATGCAGCGTCTCTTAATGCCCGTGTCCCACTAGAGCGACAGACAGAAACAAAATACAGGGAAAAGCCTAAAAAACATGTGGCATGCTGGCGATAGTATGTTAGGCAGGCGTGTAGGCGTTCAGTGCACGTGAAGTAAGCACGAGCGATTGCAAGCCTGTCAATGATACCCTCGAGTGCATGATGCTCGTGTTTGAGCATAGCCGCCTTTATTCTACAAAGCTTCTCAATCGCGAAAGACTCTGGATTTAGGCTTGTCTTTGTCGTTTGTTTCTGTCTGTCGCTCTAGTGGAACACGGGGATAAGGGGACAGCGGCAGGACATCTGGCAGCTCATTGCGGGACATGTCAGGGCAGTGCAGCTTTTAACAGCCATCCTTGCGAGTAACAACAATCCTCATGCACGTTGGATGCGCGAGGCGCTCGCTATCGAGGTTGGTTGGTTGGTTGGTTGGTTGGTTGGTTGGTTGTATTGTTTGCCAGACGTGACATTTGCCTCACTCACGGTGGGCACGTTTCACGGGCTTGGGTTATTGTAGGTTGATGAGGGTGAATGCGGGGAAAGGGAAGGGAAAATATGGTGATGAAGGGGTCCGGGGATGATGAGGGAAGCGTTAGCAAAATAATGACTAAACACGTTTCGCGGGCGAAAAAAAAATGATTAGGGCCGTTAAGACGAACTGTGACATATGTTCAAACAATGCTGTGCACGACAGAACCCCATAGCGCGCACCAGCAAGCACAAAATAAATAATCAGAGTACTTATATCGACCTAACTATGCTTCGTTTCACCCCACGTGCGAGCCAAGGCAAAGCTGGAAGCGCGAGCACGAAAGCTCCGCGCGCTCAGGCTCTGCTCGAGCACGCGAGCTGGGGAGAAGCGCTAAAAGCGCTGGTCCCGCGCTCTCAGCCCCGGCCTCGCCCGCAGATAAGGCGAAACGAAGTATAGGCTACCGTTCTAAAGTTTCTTACACGTCACAGTCACAGTCTTGAGAGTAGTTCGCACGCTTTCAAAAAACAAAACACAAATTTTCTCAGCCGTATGCACGTGGAAGTTGGTCCCTTCGGAAATAATGTAGCTTCGAGCGTGAAAGGAATGTCCAGCCCTCTCAGGCAGTTCAAGAATTCAATTCGTTCGGATGCGTAGTGTTCGCACTTAAAAAATATGTGTTCAATTGTCTCTTGTTGGTCACAGTGTTGGCAATAGGGCTGGCCGCTTTTCCAATCCGGTACAAGTTAACGTTTGTATAAGCGGAATCTGATCTAAGACGGTGAAGAAGGGAAGCAAACTTGCGTGTTAAGCCCCGCGTACATGCCGGGGGAGGCGGGTCATGCGCTGCAATTCTTGAAACCGGATGTCTCTGCTGTATCCAGGTTTGGATTGCTATTTTTGAGTCAGTCTGGGTCGGAAGCTGTAAAGTAGCAGTAGGTAGCAGCAGAGCGTTGGAAGCCAGTTGATCTGCCTTTTCATTGCCAAGAATGCCAACATGTGAAGGTATCCATTGCACTCGAATGTTACAGCCTCGGAAAACAAGTAGACGTCCCAAGTTAAATATCTCACGAGTCATGTTGGCATTAACGCCTCTGCCACTTCGAATGCTTCGCACTGCACACTGGGAGTCCGTTGCGAGCAGCCAGTTTTCTGGTGGCCTTTTCAAGATATAAAGAAGAGCTGCGTGAATTCCACAAAGCTCGGCCGTAGACGATGAAACAGCGTGATCAAGCCGTCCTGACCAAGAATGGTGTTCTGATGGGACATGGTATGCCGCAGACGCGGAATCGTTAATGAGATTAACAGAGCCATCAGTGAATATGATCTTAAATGAAGCGTGGCGGGACGCCAGGACGTCTTCCGTCAAGGCGCGGCTGACCAGCGAGGAATGCTGTGATTTTCCATGAAAGCCAGGGATGTCATCATATACGGTGAATGGATGCTCACTCCACGGTGAATCAGCTGGAGAACGCTGAACAGCTGGTGTGGATCCGAGCGCCTCTATCAAAGTGTTGCAGTGTCTTCCATAATGAGAACAATGCCGCCGTTGGATATCCTCGTAAAGAGAACCACCGCTGCTCGACTGGGCGAGTCGAACCAGATGGCGAAGAGCCCGTTCCTTAGCGTGCAAAGATACTGGCATTTCCTGGGCCTCAATCCACGTTGCCTCTATTCGAGAGTAAAAGGGGAGTCCTAGGGCCATCCTTAGTCCAGCGCGATGACGTCG